AAAATAAATCTGGCACATGTACATAGTTTGCATTAAATGCTGACGCTGTAATATTGTCATCCATTATTAGCCAATTTTCTGCTGTTGCGCGAAAACAATAATTAATCAAACGCTGGACATTGCAACAGCAAAACAACAATAATGAAAGCAACAGCAACGTCTTGCAACCTGCAACATGGGAAATTGAATTGCATTTGTGAAGCGGGAAAAAGCATACGGTGAAACATTTTTTCCGACAGCAGCTGGGGAAGTGCTCTGACTTCTTCGACAATTGCTGCTTGGACAATCGGAGTTTGAAGCCAATTTGCAGTAAAAACTAAACAAGTATACACAGTGAGAAACAATTGTGAAAAGTTAGACACAGTCATTTAGGTATGAGCTGTTCAAATAGAATAGATCGTCGACATTCTTTAATAATTGAATTGTTTAAAAACGAAATATAAAGCTATCTGTATAGAAACAAGAAAGGAATGCTAAAGTCGAGCAGGCTCAACTCTTAAATACCCTGTACCACCCCACAAAAAAGTAATTAAATTAATTAATTAATTAAATTTAATTAATTAACTAAATTAATTTAATTAATTAACTAAATTAAATATAAAATATTCCATGCATGCATACATACATTTACATTTACATCAGAATCGTGCCTTATGCGTGTTTGTGTACTTGTACATATGTATGTATGTGTGCATTGGGCCTGGTTATATGGCTATAACTTTCTTTCCGATCATTCTATCATAATGAGACTTGGTATACGGTTATATAATAACTAACCTAATGTGACTACCAAATTTTAGTTCAAAATTCCAAGAATTACGGAAGTTATAGAAAATCGTTAATAGGGGGGGAGTGGGGGGGGTGGATCAGAAAAAATGAACAAACTCGTCCTTTCTCGGTCTCAGGAGAATCTGTATACCAAGTTTGGTTATTCTAGCTCTTATACTTTCGGAGATCCTTGCGTTCATACAGACAGACAGACGGACAGACGGACAGACAGACGGACAGACGGACATGGCTATATCGACTCGGCTTGTCATGCTGATCAAGAATATATATACTTTGTGGGGTCTACCAAGCCTCCTTCTGTGTGTTCCATGTGCACTCGCACAAAACTAATATACCCTTGTACCCTTTTGGGTACAGGGTATAAAAAGTCATGTTGCTTATGCAATTGTGAAAAAATATCAAAAGCCCGAAAGTAATATGAGCGCGCTCTGCCTAGAAAATAGTGACATACTTGTATTGTAGCTAAAATCGATCCAAACTGGAAAACGGAGAAGCCACAAAAAAAAAACAATATGCTTGCAGTTAAATGAGAAAGAAAATTGTTCATAATACACCCAATTCTGTTTTTACACGGTCTTTTTTTTACACGATTTTGATATAACATGGTTTGAAAATAGAAAATTTCATATATACTATTTCTTTAGAGATGGAGGGGAACCAATCACCTATTATTGCATATGATCAATGTCTTTTTTTACACGGTTTGTTCTGGAACCAATCTGTATTCAATGTATTCAAGATCTAAAAAGGACCTTAATGTCAAATAGAACTAACTAACTGTTCTAAACTCCATTTATTTTATATAAAGAAACATGAATTATGAATTATATATATTTTAGAAAGCATGGGGTGTTTTCTGCAAGTGTAATTATAACAGCTAGGGGCAACTGATGAAGTCATATAATCAAAAGGAAATGCATTTTGTTCCCTAATGCCAAGTAATTTGTTGCGTTGCTCCTCGAACTTCAGGACAGGCAGCAGCAGCGTGCTGGAGGTGGAACTGGTGTGGTTGTTGTTGCTGTTGCAGCTCCTGGCGTGGCAATATGGCAACGTGGCAAGTTGGCTGCGCTTCGCGCCGCACTGAGCCGCCGAGAGCTCAAGTGCAATGCACGCGCGAACGGGTGCAACGGTCAGAGTCTGATGTGGAGTCGAAGTCAGAGTTGGTGGCAGGATGCGAGCGCCCACCAGCGTTTATAGTGCAACTGCCACATGGTGCCTGACTGCCTTTTTCCTACCTACCTGCCTGTCATTTTTCCTGCCTTTTGCCTTGAGCTCAAGCCATGCTAAGGTTCGTTCACACTGCCCACAGGGGCGTCGATACAGAGGGGTGTGTATAGTGTATGTGTGTGTGCAGATAGAGAGAGATGGAGAGAGGTGTGGTTTTCGCAGAGCGTTGGCGTCTGTGTCGGCTTCGTTTACTTCACTTGCCTCTTATTAAATTTGTGCCATAAAACTGATTAGACTTAAGCGGCCGGCGCAAATTAAAGTGAGTGTGCAAAGTGAGTGGCGCGCGTTGCTCGCCATTTTCCTTCTCCGATGGCATTACGTAATGCGACAAAACGATATAAAAAATATAAAAAAAGATATAAACATAAGCAGACACGTTCGTACATACAAATAACTAAACCGACTCCGTCTGCATCTAAATATTCTGAGTTAGCGATTGCCCATCCGATCCGGTCAAACTGGTTCGGATAGCAATGCTACCTGTTCAACTATTCAACTATAGAGCGGCAAACCAGACCCTCCAGACCCTCCTCCCAGCCCCAGCACCAGATCCAGCCACAGTCAGACCAGACCCCAACCCAACTCCACAGCCCACTATTAACCCATTTCGCGGGCGTAAAAATAAACAACGACGGACAGCATTTCATTCTCTGTTACTCATTGCTGAAATTTCTATGCCCTCAGACTTTGTGTGATGGTCTCCTCTATAGTCTATATAGTCGCCATAGCCATAGCCATCGCCATCATCATCGCCTTCCGTCTGCCATCTGTTGCTGAATTTTGTCGGCCAAACTATTTTCGACAGCTATTTCATATTTTCATAAACTAAGGCGCATTCCGCGCCTTGTCCCTACCCCTCGGTCCATACCGCCTTTATTTCATTTCGTTCTATTGCTCTCCACTCCGTCCCGATTGTCCCCGATCGAATGGACGGCAGCGTCGTCGCCTCTTTGGAATTTTCCGGCACGTCACGCAGTTTTTCGAATGAGTTTTTTCGGCTGCCAGCCATAAAATGAGGTCATCGTACAAGTTGCTGATTTTTAATGCGCCGCATCGCGCCTCCCATTGCGTGATATTTTCGAAATTTCTAACCAAATGCTAGTACCCTCTACACAAGTAATCTAAGTACAGATGTATGTATGTGCTCGTGTGAAATGGAAACGTGTCAACTATTTGCAACTTTTATCAAATGAAAATTGGTGAATCATTAAATATGCGGCCAGGTTTAAGTGTTTCACGTAAACGAGTGTTGACTTCAATAAAATGATTCGTTCAAAGTAGTCAAAATAGTAATGTTTCAATGATTTAATGAAAAGTGGATGAATATTAAAGACTGCTTAAATAACTGAATCATGCACATAAGAAAGGAAATCAAATTAATAAATAAAATGTCAAAATTATTGTTCAACATCTGAGTAGAGAAATGTTAAATATGCTTTGAGAGATCTGGCCGAAAATTTGATTACCAACAAGCCATTTAAAGCAAATAAACTATATAAGAACTAAAATAAACAGCAAGTACTAAGCAGCGATCGTTCCTATAGCAGCTCTATGATTTAGAGGAAACTTTAGAATCAGATTTGCTTAAATACCTTTATACACTAAAAACTATGGCAGCAATATAAAATAATTATACTATATATGGTTTGTAAAAAACTTGTGTTGTTGTGCATAAATAAAACAAGTTAAGTGTCCCTAGCTATTGGGGCTTAAAAATTCTCGAAATTCATACCGACGGACAGGAAATATTTTACAGATTTGTCTCGCCTTGCAGATCACATTTGTAGCTACAGTAAAACATGGGGTTTAGCCTTAGACAGGCATACTAATAGGTAAGAAAAATAGGAAATGGCCATAAGCATGAATCGTTTTTTTTTTTAATAAAGAATTATTTTAAGAAATTTTTTTTAAAAAGATCAGTAAAGTTTTATTTGTTCGGCCTAATTAATGAATGAATCTCGTTTAAAATCAAATAAATCGTTGATATTTTGAAGTACTATTGATGGAACAAAATAAATTAAATAAATATATAAATAAATAAATAAATTAAATTAGAATACAGCGAGTAAATAAACTGAATGGGAATCTTTTAAGAAATTATTTGAAAAAAATCCCTACATGTTTTGAATGAATCTGGGGACATCTTTTTGATAGTGTTACTAGGAATGAATACTAAATGATTGCTCCATAAGCGATGAAAGGGCGTATCAGGAAGTGTTCAAAAAATAACTAATTCAAATGAAATTGTTTTTCGAACATTATCTTTACTTTACTCTAAACACATCAGCCCCCACGATACGAAAGAAAACAATGCACTTTGTGAATGAATAAGTGAGTGAGTGTTCTCGAATGCCGTCAAGTATATTTAGGTAGTCGGGTGCTCTGACCTGAGCAACCCATTCATCAGCAATGAATTGGAAAAACGGGCCATTAAGATGCACTATATATTTGGTCCACGCAACAAAAACATTTACGCACCCAACAACCAACAACTTTTCGAAACAACGGCAATTAATTTCACTAAATTTTAAGTCAAATTTATGAACATGAACGACAAAAATAGTAAGAAAACAGCCCAAGAGACACAAAAATATTTTTTTCTAAACAATTTCGTAGCCGTTCTTCTTCACATTTTATTTTTTTTTTAGAATTGAAAATATTACGTGGGCGAGGCGGCGTGGGGCGGCGGGACTGCCACTTGATTGCGATGACAGTCGAAAAAACAAAACCGCACCAGCCATACGAGCTGAGTAAAAGAAATAAACAACTTTCGATCTGTTTTCCTTTTTTTTTTAGTTTAAATTTAAATTTGTTTTCTGCTTCGATTATTGTGTTTGGTTTCTTTGGTTTTTTGTCTGTCTATAAAACGTTTGCGTTATTATAATTGCGCTCATGAAGTAATCGTTCAGTTTAAATGTGGATACGATAAAAATGTACTGGTCTATACTATACAAGTACAAGTATATGGGTCATGGATTTCTTACCTTGGATCCGGCTGTCCCTCAGCCTCACATTCAATGATAAATGGCTGGTCGCTCTCCTTGTTCTGTTGCGCCACCTTGAACAGAAGCTCGTCGGTGGGCGGCTGTTTGATGATGCGAGGCGGTGAGTTAACTGTGGGAGAAAGGCAGAGAGAGAGAGAGAGAGGGTGGGAGTGTGAGAGAGAGAGATGGCTTGTCTGGCTAATTGGGCTCGTAAATTAGTGCAGAGCTTAGAGGAACGAAATATCAGCCCAAGGGTGTTTTTTCTGTGCCGCCAGATGACACTGCTAATAGTTGGCACACGCGTCACTTTTTCCCCAAACATATGGATGTGCGAGTATATTTATATTTTAATCAACTGCAGGCTTCTAATTATAGAGAGCCTGCAACAACACACCGATATTAGGTGGACTATACCGCAGCAAGTGGTTTAAAACACACATAATCACAGCAAGAGAGAAAGTTGGGCAGTCGAGCAAGTGCGACAGTCGAATGCTCTCTTCCCGAAAAAGCCAAAGGAACTAGAAGAAGAGTGAATCTGCGGCTTGTAAAAGGTTCTAATCGCAAGTACTTGAAAGTGGAAATAATGTGGAGATTTGCATAGAAATTAATGTGGTTTATATAGCTTTGGAATTGTGCACAGTGTTAATGAAATTCTAGTGAGCTGTTTCCGTAATACAAACGTTCATCCAGACAGACAGACGGTCGAGCACTTCTACAAGTAAATAAATTTGTCTCGTCCTGGTGATAAAAAATATATACACCTAATTCTGCATTTACAAGGTATTTTTACACGGTTTTATTAAAAATTAATTAAAAATTTTATATATGGTTATACGACAGTATTCCATTTAGCACGATTTAAAATAACATATGATCAATTTACCGTGTAAAAACAGAATTAGGCCTACTTGAAAGTGGAAATAAAGTGGAGATTTACATCGAAATTAAAGTGGTTTATGTAGCTTTAGAATTGCGCAGTGTTAATGAAATTCTAGTGAGCTGTTTCCGTAATACAAACGTTCATCCAGACAGACGAACAGACAGACGGTCGAGCACTTCTACAAGTAAATAAATTTGTCTCGTCCTGGTGATAAAAAATATATACACCTAATTCTGCATTTACAAGGTATTTTTACACGGTTTTATTAAAAATTAATTAAAAATTTTATATATGGTTATACGACAGTATTCCATTTAGCACGATTTAAAATAACATATGATCAATTTACCGTGTAAAAACAGAATTAGGCCTACTTGAAAGTGGAAATAAAGTGGAGATTTACATCGAAATTAAAGTGGTTTATGTAGCTTTAGAATTGCGCAGTGTTAATGAAATTCTAGTGAGCTGTTTCCGTAATACAAACGTTCATCCAGACAGACAGACAGACAGACAGACGGTTGAGCACTTCTACAAGTAAATAAATTTTTCTCGTCCTATACACTTAATTCTCTTTTTACAAGGTATTTTTAACACGGTTTGAAAATTAAAAATTTTATATATGGTTACACGATCTTTAAAAAAAAAACTAAACATTGCTTAGAAAGTTGTATGCATTGCAGAAATTGTGTCGAACAGAATAAGCCCCCAGTGTGTTGCAATTAAAGAAATATGGTAATAAAAATGTATGAAAAAATATACTTGTAATATTCTTCTAGTTGTACTTTACTGTACTTAAATTACCAGCTCCAGTTCTGGTCATATATAGACAGCTGATAGGGCGTGTCCATTTCGTGCTTTAGATTTCAATATTTACAATCATTTAGCTCAGGACCTGCTAATTGATTGGGAAAACGTGTGGGCCACAAAGCAATTTTAAGATCTGTCGTATCTTTCGGCTTGTAAGTTCCCTCTCAGCCACATTGCAGAGCCATCTCTGTGTCTGATTTCAGCTTTTCCACTCATGTGCACTGCACCTACCTATTACCTATTTTGTACGTTTGTAATCACGATGGATGATGTACTTTTTACATTATCGTTGCTTATTTTCACCTATTTTTTGATTATTCTTTTGAACACTTACTCATTGCAGCTGTGCTGCCCAAGAAGGCAGCCAAGAATATCGCGGCCAGCATCGTTGACTGCCGCCGCATTTTGTTGCCGTTTGTTCCTATTACTGTTTGCCTCTGCCTCTGCCTCTGTGTCCACCTCTGGCCCGAACTCGGTGTCGTGCTGGTTAGGTTCGTTCTCTATATTTCAGTTGTTCAGTTTCTATTCGAGACGCCGCTTCAACTAGTTTGATAGTCAATTTTGTTTGTTTGTTTCTTTTTGTTATTGTCTGGAATGTTTTATTATTGTGTGCTGCTGCCTCACAGAGCTAGCTGCCTTAGGTTCTCACAATTTTCCCACTAATGAAAATTGCATCTAAGTGAGCTTTGCATGTGCGCTGCATTACATGGATGGGGAAAATGAACAATTTTACACTCTAATGCTAATGTAGACGTGAGGGCATTGACGGTGGTGGTGGTATCGTAAAAGTTTAGCACAATTAGGTAGCAGCTGTAAAGAGAAAACAAAATGTAATTATTAAACGGGCATGTAATAAGAAATGGCGCTTCAACTTAAATACATGCTATAATTTATGGGAAAACTCCGCGCAAGATAAAATGTAATAGTTAGACTCTAATTGTCCTTTCTGGGCTGAATATTGCTACTTTGAAAACAAAAAATTGCATTTTAAATTGAACATGAAATAGTTTCAATATAGCCTAAAAACTAAAATGAGGAGAGATATCGCATTTAAATAAATAACTCCAACAATAACTTTAATAGCCATTGTACGCAATTTGAGAAGAAACAGGTATCCCAGGTAGATCAACATATTATTTCTTCATTAAATGAACATCAAATGGTCAAGAAACCCTACATATTTCTATATACTTGTAGTTCTACTTTAAAAGAGTTTCAACATAAAATGAAAGAAATAAAGAGTAAGTCTTAAAATGTATTAAATGCTAAAATAATTCAAATAGCCATATTCCAAGATCCAAACCCCGCTGTTTCTATAACGACTTAATAGAAAATTTAATGATTCAAAAGATCTTGCCATGAATAAGCCTGTATTTTCGCCTTTTAATACATTTGGTAATTAAAAAATTATTTTAAATCTCATGATCCTTGGATTTAATAATAATCTCCAACATAATATATCTGCTACGGTCTCATCCCTAAAACAGTTTGAATTTTCAATAATTTAGCTTCCATGGCATTAGTCATTGATCAGATGTGACTCTAAATACCAGGCATCCCAGGTAGATCAAGCAATATTATTTATTACCAATAATTCCATCAAAGACGGAAAATGGCTTATTGCGTTTTTTCTTGAAAGCAGTTTCAACAGTGAATCGGCCGAATATGTTACCTTATAGATCTCAAAGGTAAGGTATTAATTAATGCCTATACATCTCTTAGTTAAATTAATTGCAGCTTTCAATTCTTTGAATATAAAAATAGCAAGCCAGTGATCGAATAAAATGATTCCAAAAACACTCAAAGTTATAGCGCTTTTTTTTTAATTTAGATAATTCCAACATCAGATTAGTTGCATAAACAGCATTCTGAATAACAAAAACAATAAACTAAAAACACACAAATTGCCATTTCTCCCTACTATATGTTATAGTCATTCATCAAATATGCGTCCATGGTGGAGCGTAGGATCACAATTCCCCCAAGCTGAGGCATATGGAATGCTATGGACTTTGAACACGAGTCTCACATGGCCGCTATATCAGCAAAAACGGAGACCACGACTTGAAAATCGATAGCAATTATTACTGGCGATTCGCCTTGGACGACGGCGACTGCGACTGCGACACAACCAACATCGATAGCAGGGCCAACGGAAGCGATGCGCTGCCCACAAAGTGCCAATGAATCAATTCTAAAGCACAGCCCAGCGCGAGGGGGAAACTGAAACTGAAAAACAAAATACCGCAGCACATGTGACACTAAAAATAAACACCGTCGGGGCGGCCGGTGGGGGCGGGATTGGTCGACGATCGGCCTGTAAGGGACATCGCGCTATGGAAAACTGAGTAAGTGAGTCAGTGACTGACTGACTGACTGCCTGACTGACTGCCCGAATGACGGCGGCACCGTCATAGACCTGATTCCAAATCGTTGGGCAGACGCTCGTTTCCAGAAATGTGTCACTGGGCCCTGGGCTCGTAACGCAAACAAAAACAGAACAGAGAAACGGCAATAGAAGCATGCAGACAACAACAATAAACAACAAGAGGAACAGCAACAGCAACAAAAGGCAGGCGCCGCATAGTGGATCCATTTTGAAAAACTGCTTCCAAAATTGGCGTTCGATTCCAAAAGTCCTGCACACAACCATTTTAATCAAGTTTTTGAGCCTCCTGATTTAGGGTTTTGTAAAATTCGAATTGAATAATATTTTGCAGTAAATTGAATTGAGACTCAAATGTTTTTAAAAATTCAAAACATTTCCAAAAAATTATTTAAGATTTTGTAAAATTTGAATTGAATAATATTTTGCAGTAAATTGAATTGGGACTGAAATGCTTTTAAAAATTCAAAACATTTCCAAAACCTAATAAAATGTTTTTCAATACTACGTTTTTCTGAAAGGTTTCAGGCGTTCATGTGAGGTTATGTATTCAATTCCAAAATTCCATTTTAATCAAGTTTTTGAGCCTCTTCATTTAAGATTTTGTAAAATTTGAATTGAATAATATTTTGCGGTAAATTGAATTGAGACTGAAATATTTTTAACAATTCAAAACATTTCCAAAACCTAATAAAATGTTTTTCAATACTAAATTTTAATTATTTTGATTGACTTTCCAAAAGCGTTTCAAACACCATGCAATCATTCCCACGGAAATCTATAGATGTTTCAGAATTCCCAACTACAGTCTGTAGATTTCTAGTTTTTTTCAGAAAGGTTTCAGGGGTTCATGTGAGCTTTTGTATTCGATTCTATAAGTCTTGCGCACAATCATCTTATTCAAGTTTTTTAACCTCCTGATTTAAGATTTTGTAAAATTCGAATTGAATATTATTTTGCGGTAAATTGAATTGAGACTCAAATGTTTTTAAAAATGTAAAACATTTCCAAAACCTAATAAAATGTTTTTCAATACTAAGTTTTAATTATTTTGCTTGACTCTCCAAGAGTGTTTCAAAGACATTTAATTTAATGTAAAAATTCTCACGGAAGACTATAGATGTTTCAGAATTCCCATTTACAGTCTGTAGATTTCTAGTTCTTTTCCAGTTAGTTTCCAGTCTATCACTTCAGATTTGTATTTCAAATCGAGAGCGTCCGAATCTGCTCCATCGTTTGCATTGTGTGGTGGAAAACGCGAAAAACGATTTCACACAGAATGTGCAGTGCCAGAGCAGACAAGAGCAGAGCAGCGGCGGAGGGGGAATCACGAAGCTAGCTGCATATGGCCCTGCGCGCAGTTAGCATTGGCCAGCCAGGCAAGGGTTAAAGCCGAGGCAGACAGACAAACAGACGCTAATTCAATTAGTGGCATCGCTCGTCCAGTTGAGGCACATTGGCGAGGCAAGGTGCACTTCAAACTGGCGAAAATGCTGCAGTGCAACGGACGTCAGTCGCAGTTACCGCAATGAGCCACCAACGGGAGCATCGGGAGCAACGGGAGCAGCAACCGCATCCGCATCATAGCCACAGTGGCATAGATTTTCGAAATCTGTGCCAGCGCTTCGACGTGGAAAATCTAAAGGGTGAGTGATAACATCATCGAATCGACCTAAGCATTGACTTCTCGACTATGGGGATATTGCAGCCAAGTTGCCTGCTTTGCCTCCGCTGCCACAACTGAAATATCCTAAGGCGCTGCCTAGGCTTCGGGGCCGAAAAATCTTTCGCAGCTCGCGTGAAAATGTCAATTTGGAGAACAAGAAGAGTGCGACGCCTCAGCATGAGCTGTCGCCTCCGGCACCACATGCGCAGTTTATCAACCACACGCCCACACGCATTTCCACGATAAGTTCGCTCATGAACGAGCGTAGCCAGGAGCATGGGAAATCGGGTGGGATGGCGGGAGGTCGGAACACTTATCGCAGCGCTGGCAGTGTAGACGATGTGGACTATTATGGCAGATCGACTGGCGGAGAGCGCATCTCAAGGCCCATTAGTCCCGTGCGATTACCTGCAACCACTCCTGACGATGGCGTTCCTGCACGTTTAAGTTTGGGACAGCGCTTGCAACGCGGCTACAAAGACATCAGCGAGTTTCGTCTGAAGCATCTGTTTGCCAAGAAGACCGTAGTACGTCGGGATGGCATCGAAGTGCAGCGCTATGTGGAGCAATATGATGAAGAGCGACGCTATGAGCAATTGGAACAGCAGTGTCGCGACCGGGAGATAGCCGACAATTATAAAATCAAATTTCACATGTCCCGTCAGAGCACGCTAGATTCACCAGGGACTGGTGGGTCGCGTCCTCCTCCTGGCAGGCCCAGTGTGGGCGAACACAGTGGCGATGAGAGCGGCATGGAAAGTACGCCGCCCGCACGCAAGCCTGGAATAGCTGCCACGCGCTTTTCGAAGGTGCGCAATCCGCCCTTGCCAATGCCCGATCAGGAAGAAACGGGAGATGAGGCAGGAGCACCCAAGGCCCGTGGAGCAGAAGCTGCGCCAAGGGCAAGCCGTAGCAGCTACAAGGAACGTATGAAGCAGTTGCGTGGCAGTAGCAGTCAATTGCTTACAAAACTACCCAACTTGACAGGCAGTAAGCCGAAGATCGACGAGACGACAACAGATCGACAGCAGAGCCAGGAGCGTAAGCGACGAGCTCCACTCTCCCCCCAACAATCGGAGGAGAACCAAGCGGAGACGACGGCAACGACGGGAGCGGGAGCTGCAGCCGCTCCTATGCGACAGGCTATTAGGAAAAATATCAAGCGTCTGCACAAGTCTATTAAACGCGTGCAGGTGCCTAAGACGACAACAACAGCAACGAAAACAGGGGCAAACGCTACAGCTACAGACGATTCGGATGAAGATCAACCAACGGTTCCAACTGTCAAGCCCACACGAAGTGCTCGTCTGAAGGCGCGTTTGAGACGTTTCAAGTCTAGCGAAGAGGTGTCAACTGATGCACCAACCGAGAGCCTAGGCAGTCGGCTGCAGCAGCACTGGCGCAATAATTTCAAGCGCGGCGGAGACGACCAAAGCTCTCCTGAAAAGGACAAGGACCAAACTCGAGAGCAGGTGGATCGAGATACGGGATCAGGCAATCTGCTTCAAAAACTGCGACACATACGGACTCGCAAGGCGCCAAGCCAAGACGACCTCGATGAGGATGCTACAGGGCCTGCAGGAACTTCTGCCTCTGCAAACCGTGGCATGGCCGCTCAATTGGAAGAGCGTTTCACACAGGCGCGCCAGCGCACCATGAAGAAGGTCAACGAGAAAATGCAACAGATTAAGTTTTTTCAGCGCGGCACCAATGCCGAGCAAGCGTCGTCGCGATCCCCCAAACCCAATACTGTGGGTCACGAGCCCGTGGAAATCGATGACGAGGAACTGGATGCCACCTACCACCACAGCAACAGCAGCAGTGAACAGGAAGATAGCGAACAGTATGACACTGATCAAGAGCTGGACGCTTGTGAAGCACACCCAACAGCCCCAAGTCGTCGTCGGCAAAAGCAAGGAGAGCACGCGGATAGCCTATCACAAGATTCGCACGCCGACGTTATCGCTGCGCACGAGATGGCAACACTTGATCAGTTACAGGCGCGCACTGGCGGCGGTTCCGGCGTCGGCCTCACCGCCTGGACAACGGAACCAATTCTTTGCGAGGAGTCTCAGGACTCCGATGGCGATGCTGCCGATGCCAGCGTCTATCCACGCGTGCTCATTCACCAGGATCACTCAGATGCCTTTGAGTCGACACTAATAATTGCGGTAACCCGTGCGGCAGCGTCTGCTTCACCAGCGCCACGCAGTAACTTACTGGAGGCGGCTCCAGCACCACCTCGTCGCAGCTCAGCCGGCGAATGGGTGCCCAATGAGCAAATTATCGCCGGATTTCTGGCCACAGACGCTGAAGCAGCTTGGCAAACGCAGTCAAAACAAAAACCTCTAGTAAGTTCCACTCTATACAAACCCAAGAGTATTGACATTTTCGAGGCCAGTGCACGTCAGGGTGGCGTCAGTGCCGCCTTCGGTGAGGACTTCGAGGATGCATTGCGCAATACGCCGGTGGTCAAAATCAGTGCAGACAGCAGCGACAGCTACGAGGAAGCAGGTACTGAATTGTCCAAGACCATGGCGATCAATCCCGTCACTACTACGACGCAACTCAAGCGTCAAATTGGTAATAGTCGCGAGAGTCTCATTGCGCATATGGGCGGCGAGCCTGAGGAAAGCGACGATGCAGAAGACGAGGATGATGAAGAAGACACCGACTCTGATGGATCGAAGCCACATTCGAATTCAAGTCCACCATCGGCGGCGCCATCTCCACCACCTCGCTGCTCACCACCACCGCCGCCTTTACCAGAGCGGCGGCCTCCGCAGCCACCCCCGCCGACAGTAGCTCCCATTTATGATGCAGTCCCACCACCTCTGCCTGCCACCAAACCCCCACAAGCGGTGCCCACGTCATCACCAGTGACAGTGGTAGCGGCTGTGGTTCCGCATATACCTGAACGAAGTGCCTCAATGTCGCGACCCGCAAAACCGTTGGTCAAGACCAGCTCACTCCGACTAACCTACAACGAGCAGGTGCGTCCCGGTGATGTGGGAAAGGTGAACAAGTTGATCTCACGTTTTGAGGGACCACAACAGCAGCAGAGGACCCGTCCTCGTCTTATTGCACGTCGTCTACATAGCGAAGAGTACGATATGGCAGCCTATAGCGATAACGATGGTGAGGAATTGGAGGCCTTGGAAGCGCGAGATACCACTCCAACACCAGCCAACATCAATCGTAGGACCATACCCGAAATAGTAACAACCCTTCCTACCAGTTGCAATAATAACATAAATAATAACATGGTGCTGGAGAAACTACCCGTATCGAGTGCAACGCAAGCTACGGCACTTAGTCTGGACCGACAGAACTCGAACTGTAGTCGCTCCGAATATGGATCACCACTGGCCTATCCCTCGAGTCGGCGGGGATCCAACGATCAGCAGACGCCAACCGCTCTGTGCCGACCACACCGACAACAGATTCCGCCTCAGGTTCAACCGCAACAGCAGTCACGGGATCAGCTGGAACTGCAACGCCAGACCCGACGGAGTCGCCGATCCATGACGCGAGACGATGATAATTTTTACTCGTTCGATAGCGATGAAGGTAAGTACCTGGGATCACGCTATCTCCACAACAGATTAATCTTATGCCCTAATTTTGAATGCAGAGAACAGCTACTACTCAATCAGCCCTTCGGGCAGCAGTCGCTATGTGGTGGAGATCTAAACCAAACGACGCATGCACTCTAGTTCCATTACGAGTATGTCTTATAAAATTGTAACGAAACTGTATTAAAGAGCCAACACCAAAACATTGAGTGTAAACTCGAGTATGATTTCCGCATACTAACTGTAAGTGAGTGAGTGAGTGAGTGAGTTAGGAGGGGTGAGTGCTGGAGTGGAAAGTACTAAAGCAGGTAGCGATCACTACCTAGGACTGATTAATGCTTTCTGCCGGTCCCAGCGACAGTAGCGGCGGCAACGACAGTACAGACCAGGGGTGGTCCGGTTCTAGCCGAAATAGCAACTGACGCCTAAAAACTGCACGCGTCATTATCGCCGCCACCACCGACGTGGCTCGACGTTCGGGTGTGGTTCGGGGCTCTGCATCGCTGCCTGCCAGCTGACACAAATGTGTTTAAACTGGAACTGAAACTGCAACTGTCTGCAGCTTCGGGGGTTGCGATCGACACCCCTGACCGAAGCACCCTGTCGTTGAGCGCATTTTAATTGAAAATTTATGCTAATTAATTAAACTGAAGCTTGGGTGGATGGGAGGCCGTCCCTTACCCCATTCGTTTTACCAGACTGCTTTATGAGGGCGGCTGTAGTTTAAAAGATAATCAGAACTAGATAAACAATTAAATTTCTCTAGCAGAATGAAAATACGTCAGGGAAAGGCAACTGCCTTGTAGAAGACATTTAATTAGTAATCAAATAGCTCCAAGTCCAACAAACGTATGTACATATAGGTATATAAAGGTGCTCCATTTGCAGGTAATTGTATCATATTCATGGCACTTCCTTTAACAATGCCAACACAATAGTTGGCCAGGCCATAAAACGAAACATTTTGCCCAGCCGTTGCCTTTCCTCGAAAAGCCATGAGCTCAGAAAGTAAATTGAAAACCAAACAGTTCGTCATTCGGGAGCTCAGGATACTCCGGATATACGTATTGGCGGGAGGGGCGACTGGTGGATCGGATATACGCTGACTGCATTTTATTAGCCGACAGCACTGACTCAGACGGGCCAGTGGTCCCTGTAGCGTGTCCCGTCCGATGAGGGATCGCCGCGGCGTCCCCGTTCTGTCGTCGTCCTTTCGTGTGTGTCGCGTGTCAAATAACTTTGCAGGCGGCCACGTCACAGGCTGACAGGCAGGCACCAGAAACTGTAGCGTGTGCCATCGAGGGTTGATGGCAACGACAACAGCAATAACAATGAACAAAGGACTGCACGTGTGTCTATGTATGTGTGTGTATATATGTGACCACTGATTCATTACAATTTCGTGCTACTTCCTTTTTGTTCAGCTCCGTCGGCGACTTTCTCACATATTTGCCTGACGTAAACAAAAATTGTCTGGACATTGGGCCACGCTGCCAAAAACCATTTACGTTATTGACTTAAGGGGCCAGGGCCAAACACAGCATCTGATGCATTGGCTGTCTGCCCGATTCCACTCCCTCCTCTGCGCTCCACTCTCTTTGTTACATTTCAGTTCATTCTCTGTCTGTGTCTGTTTGTTTGCCTTTGCATTCTGCTGGCATCCTTTTTCACCTATCCCTACTACTATGCACATACGAGTATAGTCATATATCTTTCTAAATGTAGGGGTTGCAACATTCGAGCCAAACAAACAGCTGCGCCATTCATATCCCATATCCCACATTCGTCATATCCCACATGCTCTAATCCAGTGCCTCGAGTCCCCAGCGACTACATTTCATCTACTTGTAATAAACAGCGTTAAATTAATTGCCGCAATATGGCGGGTACTACTTTTTCTATCAGAACTTCGATATTACGAGTACCCGGAATTCAGAAATGTCCGATATGCGGGTCAAGCAACAACATCCACCAAAACGTTCATTTCAAATAAATAAATTTACTTTTATTCCGTCACAACCGCGATAAGGGCTGCGGTTTTTTTAATTACACGCAAAATTTGAAATCCTAAGGGCCCAGCCAGCATTTGGTTTGTCCATCCGTCAATCCATCCATTGAAAAATTAATGCAAAGCGCTGCATCGTCGATTACTTAATTTGCTTAATTTACTTAATTAATTCATTTCTCTTGTTATGTAATTGATAGCATTTCAGAACGCGCGCATTCGAAAGTGAAAGCCTCCACAATCGCGAGCTGATGAGGCAACTCAACTCTGAGACTATGGCCGGCTAATGAAGCACAGCTGAGCGGAAACGGGAAGGCCGGAACCGGCACACAATATAAAGGAATACAACAAAATCTTGGACTTTTCTGTGCAATATCAAAAGATGAACGAAAAACGGAAGCAGCAAAAAAACAGTTGCAGGAAGGAAATAAGTGGAATTACGTCGCATTGCAGTCACACACAGGCCAAGGCCAAAGTGAAGGACAGCTGCGAAAGAACGATATGTGGCCAAAACAAAAAAAAAGAAAGAAGCAAATCCAAAAAGAACACACAACCAAGGTAGTAACAAAACCACAAACACACGTGTATTCTACGACTCATGAAAACCAAACAAATTTTGGCATGCAACATCGACCGAGCTATAAATATTAATTATGGGGAAAATTGTAAAGCAATCCAATTTAATGTGCGACGCAGTCAAGCAATTTACATTACCATTTGTTTGATCTTCAATAAAATTCGAAGGTTCTTAAAGTAATAAGCTGCAAATGTTTTCAGAGTTCTTTAATTACAAACTGTAACTAAATCAAGGTGTATGCAGTGCTTCAGATATAGCTAGATATGCAGAAGCATGATTGCAAATATATCCTTAGCCTGAGCTTTGGAAGTAGTGTTTTTTATACCCTGTATCCGTAGGGTAAAAAGGGTATATTAGGTTTGTGCAAAGTATGTAACATACAGAAGGAAGCATCTCCGACCCCATAAAGTATATATATTCTTGATCAGCATGACGAGAGAAATCGATCTAGACATGTCCGTCCGTCTGTCCGTCCGTCTGTCCGTCTGGATGAACGCAAGGATCTCAGAAACTATAAAAGCTAGAATAACCAAAGTTGGCATCCAGATTCTCCTAGATCCGAGTAAGGACGAGTTTATTTTTTTTTTTTTTAATTTTCCCCCCCTTCCCCCCGCTGCAGAATTTCGTCAATAGCGTCCATATTTCAAATGCTACCTAAACCAAACTTTGCACACATAATTTATATATAATTGTCTACTGTTGTTCAAAATTTTATTCAATTCGGTCAATTCTAAGAAAAGTTATTAGCGAAACAAATTCTCGCCAGTACAACCCCCACAAACTGCAGCAACAAGTTCGCTCTTCTTCTTCCTCTTTTTGCTGCTGCTATGGGCGCATATAACTCAGTGACGGAAGTTTACCTGGGTACAGGGTATTACACTGTCGGGCTTGCTCGACTGTAGCGTTCTCTCTTGTTTTTCTTTGCAGAAAACGACATTTGAATATAGAAGTGAAGTGAAGTATAGAAATAATATATGATTTTCCAGCCAGATTTGTTTGATTGCAGCAAAAAAAAAGTACGGTAGTTGTGTGCAAATTATAGTACCCCTAATAATTAAGCCTAGTTTTTTCGTTAAAGTCCTTTAAAAGAGAAATAAATAAGAGACAGAGAGAGAGATTTAGCGTGGGCTGTTTCTGAGAATCCATTAATATTTTCAAAGTTTTTTTATTAAAGTCCTTTAAAAGAGAAATTAATAAGAGGGAGAGTAGGAGAGAGAGAGAGAGAGAGAGAGAGAGGTACGCGTGGGCTATTTCCGAGAATCCATTAATTTTTCCAAATTTATTTCAATACAAAAACAAAGTAAGGGTTCGGTAACTTGTACTTTGTTCATCTATTAGAAGAAAATTGAATAACAATTTGTATATTTAGAATAGTTAACCTAATATATTCAGCCTTTTTCTAACACAATAACTAGATGATCAGAACTGCTTTATTGATAAGCTTGAGCTTCTCATACATATACAAAATGTATGTATGTTTGTATGTTTCTCAAACGTTTGGCAAAAGTTTTGGCTTTTTAGAACACATACTGCGATAGCTACAGGAGTCAACCTCATCCATCCTTCTAATGCTAAGTCTGAGACAAGTTTTGGCCAAGAGCATGGAGCTTGACGTGTGGCATGTGGTGACAAACTTGCTTCCGGACCGCACACAAAGTTCAATGCACTGCCTGCCTCCAATGACAGCGGCAGCAGTAGAAGCGCCAGCTAAGAGCGACTGCTCATAATGCAATTTATGAAATGATGACGACGCTGCCAGAGGCAGGCAAACTACTAACTGCCGCAGTTGGGGCGTTGACGACCACAGCAACAACAACAATAACAACAACAACGACCATTCAACGTCAGTTGGCAGTGTATCACGTTTAAGCCAAAGCCGCCAACGGAAGTTTGAGGTTAAAAATAACGGCAAAACCATTTGCCAACCGCATTGTTCCGTAATAATCAGCGGGCCAAACTTGTAGTTCCTTTTTCTGTTGCCACACACACACACACACAAACATACATGTACGTTTATATGGTATAACTACTTAAATATATGTACATATGTACAGTGGCTCACAGCTTATTTCAACCAGCACCCTAAAAAAAATTGTAGCCTCTGTAAAATCTTAACCAAAAGGGATATCAAAATAATTTAAACGCAATTAGTTAGTCTGATGACTTAACTTACAAAATTTAACTTCATATATTTTTTAAGTATTTTTCTAACATTTTATAATAATTAAAAACTGAAAATTCAACGAAAAACAATGCCACAGCTTATTTCAACCACATACTTTACAGCTGAGCGAAGATCTGTTATTCTACGATGTAACGGTAGTTTTTTTTTCTATGCTTTAGTCATTGTTTTCGCAATATGGTGAAATATATTTTTGCTAAACTTTGAGAGTGGATCTTGCAGAAAAGTGTATTTAGCGAAATGGGCCCACGCACTACTATTGAGCAGCGAGAACTTGTTCTCAGGCACTTTAAAGCGGGCTATTCCCGCAGGAAAATTGGAGAGATGGTTGGACTTAATGATTCCACAGTCCAGAGCATCATTTATCGATTTGTTCGTGAGAACAGAACCCATGATAAGGGTAGAAATGCTCCAAATAAAATTTTTAATTCTACGGATG